TCGCAATTATTAAGAAAATTGTGAGGAAATTCGTAAAATGACATAAACAAAATAAAATTGCTTTGAATTATTAAAGGGAGAAAAAGTTCTCGATTCATATTTTGATCTCGGTTGAAGCTTTTTCGATTTTTATCCGTTTTTCTCAATCATTCCAAAACCTATTGTAAAATTTAATAAAAGTCGCTCCCCCTGAAAGTACCAATTAGAACTCATTTCCTACCTTAAATTCTTATTTAATTATGTTACCGAAGCAATCATTCAAGTTGAAATCGTTTATACTGATATAAAAAAATAAATATATAAATAAATAACAATATAAATAAAAACTTAGCCTGGATTATTATTATATTTGTAAAGTACGACTAGTTTCTAATTTAAAATTAATTTTCAGATATACAAGTAACTACGACACTACTATAAGAGTACACATTGTGTAACTTCTAAAACTGAATTAATGTAAATGTTATTTTGGATATTTAATATTTCTAAATCTATATTGATATCAAAATATATATGATGGTTATTTTCTAAAACATGTTTATGTTTTTCATACATTACAAATATAATTATACTCCTGACTAAGTATTAGTTAATTAATTAATTTATATGTGTATAAACGGTTTTTATATTTGTTCATACATTCATTTTTGTGTCTTAACTGTTTAATAATTTTTATTTTTTTTATTAAAAACACTCACACACATAGCATAGAAAAATCAATACTTTTCTCGTTTTACTCACAATCTAAAAATATACAAATAATAAAGTTAAAAAATCTTGATCTTCAAAGTCCATTAGCTCAAGCTCAAGTCTCTAGAAATACTATAACATGATTTTTTCAATAATATTATAAAGTTGTATGTTGTAAAATATTACTGCAATGATTATGATTCAGTATAGTTTTTATAAAGGCAGGTATAACAGATTTTTTTTTGGTGGCTAATAAATTTTAAAATATTTCATGTAAATCTCTATATTTTATTATTAATAATATAAATATGCTATTTCTAAATAATCATAAATACATGTGCCAGTTCAATAATAAGTTACAATTAAAATACAATTGAAGATGTACAATAGAATTTTCAATTTTATTAATTCAATTAAAATGACGTTGACTATAGATTAGTAATTTAAATTACAGTATTTAAAACGACTTCTCAGCAATTAAAATATATTTTAAAGAAAAATTGAAATTACAAGCCTTGTGGGATTATAAAATATCAGCTTATAGTACGCATATGCATATATGCTTTTCTAATTAACGTACTCTTTGAAAATATTTTATCTTAAAATAATTAAAATTTTGCAATATTTGTCTACCCTGAGATAAATAACAAAAAATAGTTATCAATTTACAAACTTATGAGTTTATCTTTTAAGATAACATTGTAATGTTCATCTCGTTTGTGTAGGCAATATAAAACTCAAATATGTATTTTATGTTATCGCTTACAAGGTGTGAGATAACAAAGAGATTAGTATGCAAAAGGTTATTGATGATACAGGTTATAATATAGCTATATGAATATTTTTTTTATTTAAAAATTCTTCTGATTTGTATGATAATCCAGTTTTGAAAACTGTTCTACGTATTCTTCAGTCAAGAATTTTCCAACGGATCGGCGTTGTGCCAAATTAATTAATTTTCTCTATTGTTAAGCTATAAGCATTTTTAAATAACATTAAAAGTACAAAAAAAAAAATCTTATTGCTATTTTAAACACGCAAGCAAAAATAAAGTAAAATTTTTTAACTTCTTATTAACATGAATAATTTTAATTTAAATATTAAAAATAAAATTTTCCAGTAATTTTAATTATTTTAATTAAGTAACAAACTATGATAATCTGCAAAACAACAATATGATTTTTTGCAGTACATTACAGATCATTGCCAGTTATTAAATTACTGGCGTACCCCTTAATGAGCTATTGGCTCGAATAAGTGCAAAGGATACAAAGATGGGCGTCAAAGGTATGTTGATAAAATATTTATAAAACAAAATATTGAAAGCCGAAAGTCAAGCTAATAAGTACTAAGTATTAATAATTAAATAGAAAGTGCAACATTATAAAATTTTAAAAATCCTAGATTAAAAATTATACTTTTAGGTTATTTGTGTAAACTTGAAGATAATTAATGCACATAATAGCAACATTTTTCACAAAAATTAATTAAAAAATTCTTTGAGACAGGATACTATGTATTGAGCCTAACTATTAAATGTATTAAGATTGTATTACACCACGTTCTGATGAAATCATTTCCGTGTCGTGGATAAAAATACAGCACTACATAAAAATATAATTATTATTATCAATCGTTACAATTTATCTTTAAAAATTATACGTATTGATTCCGAAGGTATATTTTGAGTAGTGTTATTATTTATAATTTACGGTGGATTAAATTGCGATAAATGTTAGTTTATGAGAGACAGCTCCGAGGTTTTAAACATCTGTACATGCGATTACACCGAGTGCGCCGTGCACGCAACTTCTGTTTTACTATAGCATGTCGTATGTACTCCTAAACTCGGTTTATTTTTCTATTTTATTCAAATCACAAAAAACTACTTGTGCACCTAACAATTATCTAACGTTTTACGTGAAGAATGACCGTCGGCCAGATCGGTCCCCGGTGGACTGTGAGCGGTGTACGTGAACACCATTACGCGTTGTCGGAAAACGGCTCCAGACTATTTCGTGACGTTGCGTTTAGCGGTATGCCACGGTTATAACCGGACGTGAGAGGCGAGCAGACGGGCATCGCCCATTACCGTACGAACGCTTAAAAAAAAAAAACAAGCACGGGATAATATCGCCGCACAGATTTTGAAGTACTCGACAATTATAATTATGTTATTACGATATAATATGACGGCATTACACCTACTGTCAAAGTATACGTTTTTAATACTCGTATTGTGTTTAAAATGTGAGATCCATAATTTTTTTATTTAATTTAAATATGTCCCCTTCCCTAAAATTCCAACTACACCCGTCTAATAATGTGTTATTATCGCATTTGCATTTCCAATATAACATATTGAACATGTAAATTTTAGCCGATTACTTTTGGGCGGTAATTGTTTCCGCCAAAATGAAAAAGGTTTGATTTTCGTTTCCACCAAATCTATTTATGCCTACACGATTGAAATGAAGTTTTAGAATTTCATGCTTTTATGTTTAATTTTATGTGCTATGAACTATAGATCATCGATGACTACATTTGGATTAACATTTTTAGATCCTCGAGATGTTTTATGAATTTTATTATAAATTTAGAATTATCCATCGAAAATGTTATGTCTATAATAACATAAGGGTCAGCATATTGTAAATACGCTGATTATTTAGTTGATAAATTATATCTCCAAAAATAATTTGTTTCCTCCATCAATATGATCCTATTTCAGTTCAAATATATACTGAACAACAAATAACTGAGAATTATTACAGGCATATTTTAATAAACAATTTTTTTAAAGCCACACATTAATACATTTTTAAAAATTTTTATTTCAAATATTCAAAACAACGTACATATTCAAATTTACATTTACCACTTAAATATGATAAAACCTGTAAGATGTAATATAAAAAAATAATTAGTTAGTACAACAATAAATATATACAATAATATATAACAATAAATAATTTATAGGACTGTTAGACGTATTTGATTATATATAATATATTACTTTAATTATAATCAATTTAATTCAAATTCAAATTTTTAAACTTTAATTCAAAAATGTAGTGAAACAGTTTTTTGAGTGAACCGCCTCTTCGTAATGTTCCCTGTGTAACTTTAAATGGTTATCAAACTATAATTTAGACAGGTGGTAATAATAGATTTGGCGGAAACGAAAATTGAACTTTTATTATTTCGGGGGAAACGATACTTGGCGGAAACAAAGTTTTTGACAAAAACAACTGACATACATATTTTCACGATTATCATCGCTTATCGATAAATATATACGTCCAAATTAGGATTGTATTGCAAGTATAATAACCTGTTGAGGAACGTTTATTTAATTCTATCAGTAAAAGATAGCATTCATTATGTACAAATTTATTGTTGGTTTCGCTTCGACATTCAATCTTCGAACTTTCGTGCGTGATATTTAATGTTAAAATTCAGTATTTTTAAACATTTTATACAAATAATCATGAAAATAATTAATTTAATCTCGACAACATAAATTTTTTATACTTTAGCACAAATAAAAGTTTAGATGAATATTGTTTAATGGTGTGTGCACAAAAAAAATGCAGTTCAACAAGTATCATCGAAAATGAAAAAACGGTTATAATAAGCGCTAATATCGTACTATTTTTGTGCGGCGAAATTAGTCTTTATGTGTCTATAAATCTGTGCGATATCATAACATTTTTATGTGCGAAAATTAAAAGCGCCGGAATCCTCCCTTGGCTTAACAAATTATAAACACTATTAGCATAATATATATAATCATTTATGTGGGTTTTTTAATATTATATATATTTTATACATAAATGTATCTGAATATGACACATTTGTATCTCGTATGGTTTTGTGTTTTCACTTGTTAGGGCGTCCTTGCTCGGTGCTGTTGATTCGAAGGAATGTTAGTAAGACGAGTACTCTATGTACACTATACGATTTGTTCGACGTTCGGTGCGACTTTCTGGTTTCTAACAGCCCGCAGGAACGGTGGATCCTGCGATCGACAACCATATGAATCGAAATTTTCTTATCGCTCTCACTCACTGTTGCGCGTATTATATTTACTAGTTTCTTACCTACGGTAACGTTGCGAAAAATACCTATCCTTCCCTTGCCCCCCCCTCCTTCGCGACCGGTTGCACGCACCCGTCACAACACGATATTAGAATAACGCGGCACTACGATGATAATGAAAACCGGAGCAAACAATTATCTACAGGTTTATGTACCTTACACATGCACCGTAACGGGAGGGGGAACGCGCGTCTCCCGAGAGTCGATCACACGTCGATCCGTCAGTCCGGTGCACATCGCGTTAATCGCCGTACGTCGTCGTGTAAATCATTAGCAAAATATTCATTATTTCACGTATTATTTTACACGTACACATTATACGATATGCATGTTGATACGATACAATTACTGTAATACTGTCGATCCATCGTCGTCGTTGTCAATCATTATCATTTCAATTGCCTAAATATCGTGTGCGTGTGTGTGTTGTCCCCGGGAAAACGTATATTAACGCATCAATCGAATTATTAAAAACACATCATCAACGCGATCATCATCGTCATCATCTTCGCCATGTTCGCGCGGATCAGATCGTTCCGGGCGAATCGAAAGTGATCCCTTCAGGGGTTCCTTCCGGCGAGCGATCTAAGCCGCGCAAAGACGTCTTTACGTTTTCACTCGCCACGCGACGATCGCGTTTTCCGGGGTTGTTTCCGGTGCCTGGAACCTCTTACGCACGCATACTCACGCACAACACGCGCACGTCATGTCTGCCGGAATCAAACGGAATATCAATAACAATGTGGTTGAATCCGTTGACAGGAAATGGAGCCCGGAAGTCCATACAAAAATATTCATACCGCCCATTAACGTCACGGAACCCAAAGGGAAAATTTCCAAAGGTAGGAGGGTGGCTGCAGCGCGCATACAACTGTAATATAAATACGATAGTTAATATAACGAGTGCAGCGTTCGAATCGGGAGTTTCGGACTCGACGATTTCATCGATACCGGGTGTTAAATTTTTCTCCCCTGTCGACTAACCATTGGTCCTGAAATTGATTTTTTTCTTCTAATCGCATTTTAAATGGCAATTCTACTAAATATATACTTTTATCTTAGTAATTACTGTTTAATTACTCTTCACTACGAAGTATAATTTGTTGCCTCGTTATTTCATATTGTAATACAGTCAGATATACACGCAGTCACACACCTACACGAACGTTTTGCAGGTTAGACTTACGTGGTTCAATGAATTAATTGATCTATTTATTTTTATTTTTATTTTAACTAAATTAAAATTAAAGTTCGTTCACACTCTTACTATGAAAAGTCTTTTTGGATTTTATTAATTAAGAGTAGTTTTTAGCAGCACAATAGTTATGATATCGTCTGAAAACACTTTTTTTTTCTATTTAAGAAATTTATAATCATAAAATTTAGTTATGATTAATTATTCATGTGATGTTTTGTGCTGTTTTTTTTTATGATACAATAAAACCTTAAAGTTTATCATGTAGGTACTTCACAAAATTGAATTGGTACGATACTTTTTAATTTTTTGCAATCTTGATAAATATATTTAGAAAAAATGTAGATGATAAATTGTTATGATTATATATACATTAATATATTGCCATTAAACGCATAGGTTTATTATTCAATAATATATTTTTTTCGCGTATTTAAATGTTAATGTGTTTTTCATAAATAATTTAATCCCGATAAAAATATATAGGTGATTAATATTTAAATTCAATGCTATTAATTGGGGTTGAATACTCTAGAACAGCGGTTCTCAAATTTTTTTTTCGCGTACCACTTGAGTATATTATCAATCAGTCACGTACCATTAATGATTAAAAATAGAACCATACAAACTTTACATGGTTGAATACATTTATTTTAAATAAAAAAGCAGTAAAATACTAAAATAAAATTATTATTTATTTATTAATACAAATTTATTAGTGTTTTTAAATTAATATATGAGTTAAATATTGAATTTTTAATTTTCGTTCTGCCAACACCCGGCCTTTCACGTACCATTAGTGGTACGCGTACCACAGTTTGAGAACCGCTGCTCTATAATATTAGGTATTCTAATAATCAAACGCGTTCATAGTACTTAAATATTTTTAAAATCAATTGAATTCACCTAAATCAAATCTAATGATCACAATAATAATCTTTGGGAAAATCGCTAAAAAAAAATTCAAGTAAATGTACAGCAAAAATACAACACACATACGCATATGTAAAAAAAACAACGCATAAGCTAAAATGTACACAAGTTATTATCAACATATATTAAAATATATAAATGGTACCGATTTTCAACTCGTTGTGTATAGAGAACTTGCACTGGCGTATTTGAGCTGAGATGGTTTCCTAATGAACGTATCATTTTATTAAAACGAATACACGTAACCCTTTAGGTATCGAAAATCGACTGTACACTTTTTAAAAGATACACTGCATTAATAAACGGCGAAGGTTTTAGTCGTAACGACTGGGGGTAGATGCGCGACAGCGTGATACGATTTTATTGTGCGATACGCGATTTCATACGAACGTCATTTCGATCCGTGTTGGATCCGAATGATCATCGCGTCATTATTGTTTTAACGATATGTTAATTTTCTTCCAACAGACGACGGCGAGCGGCGGCAAAAATACGTTGCGGCGGCTGCAACCGTCATCAGCAGCGGGAGCGAGAGCAGCGACGGTGGGGGCGGCTGCAACAGCGGTGTCCGGAGCCCGGACCACCGGCGTCAACCGGTGTCCCGGAACGGTTCTTACCGTGAACCGTTGTCGCCCATGTCGACCAGAGCGATGTCGCCTAGCCTGCGATCGCTCAAAGTGCCCGGCTCGCCGTCGTCGGTCGCGACTGCCGGCTCCACCAGCCTGAACTCCACTACGTTCAACGGCATCGGCTGCCAGCACGTCCCGGCGCACTACCAACACCACCAACTGGACGCGATCGCGTCGCCGCTCCGGTCGTGGTCGGACGCCGTGTCGGTCAGGTCGCTGGCGTCCATCGGCATGGGCTCGACGGACGGCCGGAAGCTGACCATCGCCAAGGTGCCCACGTCGCCCGCGGAACTGCTCAACCTGGCCAGCCCGCAAACGTAAATATTAAAATTAAATAGCTTCGCGTGCCAAACACCATTACGTCCGCGTACGCCCAGGATAAGAGCACCACAACTCAATTATTTTGTAGTTTCGGGGCGAACCGATTCGGCGATTCGACGGTTCGACGGGTCTTACGTTTACGCGTTCAATCATAAAAACTTGAATACTTACTAACGCGTGCTATACAATGTGTACGTTATCAAATATTATGAAACACCCTATAAAACTCAAAGCGCCGGGCTTATGTAGGGTTTCGCAATCGCTGAAGTGAACGCAAGACTGTCTCATTCCTAAAACGTTACTGAACACATACTGTTTTTAAGGCTATAATAATACTATAATAATACGCTGACGTGTGGCAGTGTTGAACGCGCGATGTACAACAAAACGTTTGAAATCCAGTACCGCCGTAACTGTAAATGTTTCATAATAATTGAAATTCGTTCTCGGTTTCCCGGTAGCCCATCGAAAAATTGCGTCCAATACTATATTGTTGTATATTGTATATAATATTGTTGTATTGTTGTGTACAAAGCTCGTTTTCAAACACCATCAGAAAGCAACACCTAATGCGTTATCTGAGAACCGACAAACGTCGCGCGATCTTTTGTCCTGGACAGGGCCGGCTCAAGGTATAGACGAGCTAGACACCTGCCTAGAGCGGTACTTTCGTAGTGGTGGCATTTTCAAAATTAACTTGTACATTTTTTTTATTTCTATCGGTGTTTTATAAGAAAAATGTTTAAATTAATTCATCCGTGAAAACCACTATATTTATATATATATATATATATATATTTTTTGAGTAATAATTATAGAAATCATTTTTAAGTCTTTGTACAACAATTTAAATATTTTTTTTATGTAGATGTATCGCACAAAAAATAGGGGGAGAGGCTAAGTAAAAACGAGATCTCAATTTTTTTTTTTTTAGAGTTGACAAAATTTAATTTTGTCTAATGCACTATTTTTATTTGAGCCGGCCCTGGACGTACGAATTCGCGTGCGGACCTTGTCAATATTACACGCTAATTCACTAATAACATATCGTGAGGCTGTTCGTTTTATTATCAAACGTAAAAATTATCGTTATTATTCGTGCGCGACTACTCGTTCGCGTGGGGGCCCCCGTAAGTATGGTGCGTACCGTCTTCGTCTGGCGCGCGCACGCCCATCATAACCGCTGCCGCCGGCCCTGGGCACCCGATAATTGTACCAAAATATTTCGCCAACCAGTTTTTTTTTCGCACTATTTCATGCGCGTCTTTGGAAGGGGGGGCCAGTACCGCTACTTACCACGGTCACATATTCATCATGTTAGTATAGTCGTCGCCGTAACAGTCGCGGCGGCGGACGTGAAATCCGTCCGAATACGTATATCGCACAGTGACGGTGCTTGAGTTTGCGAGGCCCTGGGCAAAATATATGCTGAGTCTTGTTGAGAATTTATATTAATAAAATATTTTAAGTTCAGTTAAATCAGAACCGCGGGGCCCTGGGCAACTGCCCCTATTGCCCTCAATTCGCGCCGTCCTTGGTACCGCACATGCAAAACATACTACGACAAAATGATTTTACGTCGCGACGATAGTCCGTCTGGAAAACACACGCGTGTGAGGTTAAGAAAACGTTATACGTGCACGAGCAATATTTATACGGTTGTATAAATAGGGGTGGGGTAGGGAAACGATTGATTTCGGTAAACGCGTTTGCCGCAGTCTAGTGTCTAACCCTTAAATCCTTAATAATAATAATAATAGTGATAAATGCGTCGGTTACACATTGTTTTGCTACGGTAACATTGCGGTGGTAGGTTTTGCACGACTTAAGTGTTTTAGAACTGCACGACTAACGTTTTACCGTACACTTGCGCGAAACCAGCGATGCGAGCAGAAACAAAATACTACGTGTAATATCACGTGAACACTCATGTAAAACACTATAAACGGTTAGGTTATGGAACACTGTTGTCCGATTCGCGTTCGTTTGGTGAAAACCCTTTTCGTAAAAAAAAAAAAAAAAATATAAAACCCGCTCTCTTTATACCGTGCATAAACGAAAACATAATTTATTGATCTCTGGAGGAGGAACGTTAATTCTAATCCGTTAACATTTTTACTAATAAAACGAGTTCATATTATTATTATGTCTCGTTAAAAAAAGTATAACAATGTTTACAGATAGGGAATTTTCAACTACTCGATTCTATACAAGCGCAGTTATATAGGTATTACCGTGTGACCGTGTACCTAATTACAATAATTAATAGTCAAAGTACGTCACGATCATAATAATATGTTAAAACCTTTCGCCGCCGTGTTTCTGTATAAGTTGCAATAACGGGAGTTAAACTTTACACTGCTACTGTTCATAATCGCTATAGTCACGCGTTACCAATGCCACAAGGTTGATTTTTGGATTTCAACAATATTTTACACGTTAATACATGTAGTTACCGCTATTGTATACTATATTATACGTGTACTCGTGTATAACGATTTGGAATTCCTATACTTGTGTATGGCAATTCGGGTTTTTACAGTTAAATTTTAGTTGTTTTTGAAAAATCGTTATTTTAGTATAGGTGTACTTTGTGCGTACCTACCGAACAAAAACAGATAAACACGTTGCGCGTTTAAATGTACCTACCAATAATATTAGGGTCGTGTTACGTATTATTTACTATATAGTGGTTTTTTTTTCTTTCTGAATATAAATGTAATTTTCTCTATGCAGCTTAGTGTTCTAAGCTGCATAGAAAAAATTCCATGTCGTTGGAAAATTCAATTCGTGTAATTTTGGTGGAAGAGGATCGCTGGTATGTGATGAACGTAGTCTGTCCCCACGTCTGTTTTGCAACGTTCTAATACAACAAATGCGACGGTTAAATTGAAACATAATATCATCTTAATCAACGAAATTAGAATTTTTATTTTACAAACATTTCATCTTGGTCACCATAGTTTTTGTTTATTCGTAGTTTATTTATTTATTTTTCTATTTGGTCCGATAGTAACAATAACGTATATACATTCTGACGTCTTGGATATACATGAAGTGATTGTAAAACTTGTATTATCGTGTTAACAATAGTCCTTTTGTATGATGATTTCTGCTTTGATGTTTAATGTTTTGTTGTTTAATGATATTATTAAGAGGTACAATTTTTGTTCCAATCTGAAGTTATTTTATTCTATCTATCTATCTATCTAACATTTTAATGTACCTGTAATGTGTCAATAGTTTATAAAAATAGTTCTGATTAAATTTCTAATCATATTTGTAAATTAATTCAACATAACACAATATATGATTTAAAAAGTTATATATTTTGAATTATTTTAGTTGAACAAAACGAATAACAATTTTAACTATATTACATCTAAAAACTTAAACTTCAATCGCAAAACGTTTTCATAATTTTAAAAAATTATAAAAAAAAAAAAAAACTAAATATCGATAACTACAAGTTAAATAGTATAATTATATTATTTTGATGAAATTTATATTGTTACGTAATTATAATAAATCCGGATAAAAAACTTCTTAATTATTCATTAAAATAGATTGTTTAACAGATATTATAATACTATAATTAAATTAGTTTATCTCATATAATCTATTTAAAGATTTCAGAATGTATCAATGTAATAGTTTTTTTTATCAGTATCAGATAGTATCGATATTTGGAGTTGGATATTTTTAACTAAATACATTACAATAATTATAATTTTATTTGTCACAATAATTATTATTGCGACAAATAAACGATAATTACAAATGTTTCGTACGTACATAATAAATCAACCTTCAATCATATTTATCGTTCTGTAAAGTTTTTAAGATACCCTCAATCTATGAACTAATAAAATTATTATCATTATTTTTTAAGACATATATTTTTCTGTTTTAATTTGAAATTTAAAATGATATTATGAATCATTTTATAATTAAAATAACTTGTTGATTATATTCCTTCGATAATTCCCAAACATTTAAATTTCAGAACATAATCCAATAAATTGATAAGTGGTCAATATTACTTCAAATGTTGATATGTTCAAAATGAAATGTAAATTCGATATTTATGAACACATACTATAAAAAAAGCCAACAAATCTCAACCATAGCTTAAGAACACGCGCTATCCTTCGATAATAGATAAAACATTAATTGAAAAATAACTTCATAATATAAAATTATGCATGTACCTAGTACTTATACACGCATAACTGTCATGTACGTATGAACATAAAATATTTGTTGCCATCGAGTCGCCTGTTTACCGGAAAAGTTTTTAATTTATCAGTCAAAGTCTCCTAACTACAGTCACGTGGCTGTTTCATTATTATACATTACCTGTTGTATTGACGACGTGTAACAAATAAACATCGTAATGAATTTTTTAACAACATGATGTACTAAACTTCACAAACAATACCCGTGATGACGTTGACCAGTTGAGTCGATTAATTTTAACTATAACTGGTTGTGACGACCGTTGATTTTCGTAGAATTTACAATGAAATTCTTTGATAATATACACTCTCTTCAATGAATCTGAATTTCGCGGTTACTAGGTTGTAGATATATTTTTGATTTTTTAAATATCATTAATTAATTTAAAACTACGAAAACCTGAATATATTATACTATATATCTCGAATGTTTATCCTATTTTGCTTTATTACTTGGACAGCGTAGACACTTGGATAGTAATGAACGCAAAGAGGTTGAAACTTATTACAGATTTAAATCAACAAAATTGACGTGATAGTTCGTCAAAGCTGGATTATTAATTATTAGTGAACTTGAAATTATTAGTATATTCGAAAAGCAAATATTATTGTATAAGTTTAATCAATAAAAACTTAAAAATCTATCAAAATAAATTCATCAACAATAAAAACGTAAATTTTTTAAAATTTAACAATTTGAATCCTAAATGAAATTGTTTTCCAATACTTTTGAGTTATGTTAACCATGAACATATTAA